ATTTTTACTAATTTATTTTTTAATTATTTAGTAATTACCCAATACCTAAAATTATGCGTCTAAGCTAAAGTGGACAATCATGTTAAATTAAAGTATATATAAAATACACTATTAGTTAAAATTGATATTTAATTGTAAATGCAGACCTAATTATTCAAGTTTTATACAGATAAAAATAATAAAATATATTAAATAATACTTTTTTTTTGAATAAAATGGTTTTTTTGAATAAAATGGTTTTTTTTTAGATTGTTAAACTATTTTTTAAAATAAAAAACCATAAAAATAAAAGATTGATTATTTATTTATCATATTGAGCTAAGAAAATTTAAGATATTTAATTTCTTTTATTTGTAAAATTTGTATAATTAGACGAGCCTTCACAAACAAATATCATATTTGAACAAAAAGAATATTTTGTGTATCCTCTAATTTAAGACAACAAATTTCATGTAATAAATAAAACAACGTTAATGCTAAAACACAATGGCGGATTATACCATTTGTAGGAACACGCCGGTGAGGGCTGTTCATTCCCACGGATCGTTGTTGGATGCCAACGCGTACATACATGGTATAAAACGATCCTAAGCATGCTCCTATAAGAATGAACTAGAGATGTACCCTTTTTGGAACCACCAACAGCAATCACGAACAGGTTGATTCCGCTAGAGACCTTCCAGACTGTTCCCGAACCCCGCTCGAACACCGGATGGGCGGCGATCTATCAAACGGAGGGAGACGAATTTTGCTCCTCGTGAAACCCTAGAGCTGACGGCTTGCACCTGTGGTTTTCGCCTCCTTTTTAAAAACGTCACTAGGGTTTGACAAAGACCGCATATTAATAAGTCTCCCAACAGGTAATTGGGCCAGACCGGGGATCTTTAGAAGGTGTTGGGCTCGGGCTCCCTTATAGATCCAAATCTCTATATTCAGCCCTGAATATAATTCGAATCATAAAATATTAATTCATTCCATTAAAGAATTAATATTGCACTCCCAGCCCAAACCAAATTGAATCTGGGCTTCTATTAAACTTAATTAATTCCCCATGTTTAAGATGTTCCACATCCATTAATTAATTAAATCTTCTGACAATTTAATTAATTAATATCTTTTAATTCCTTAAGTAATACCACTCAAAACTTATTATTGTACGGATTAAATCCACCTGCAGGGTTTATACAATAATCCTTATTGAGTTCCTTAAGGGGATGTCATCAACCTGGATGTCCAGGACATGGTGCCTTAATGATAATAAATTAATTACTATGCGAATAATGTAGTTGCCCAAAATACGAAGCATATTGAATCACTAAGGATTCTCACTTATGGTAAATTAAAGCAACGAACATTTATTCCATATATTTAATTTATTTCATCTAAGGTTAAGAATTAACAGAGTTACCGAGATCTTGGTTCTTCAATGTCAGAATAGAAGAACATATCTCAACTGTGATCCTTTCAATGTGACGCAGCACATTAGTGTAAACTAATAGTCAAGACAAACTAATTCCAAGTTTACACTACAACTTAAACCGATGGTTTTGTCCATAACCATCTCAGTTGTGAAACCCATTTATATTTAATAAAGAACTGACAACAAGATCTTCTGTGTGATCTCCACACACCATGTTGTCTACAATATTAAATAAGTGGACATGCTAATATATATAAAATATAAATAAAAGCAACACAATGTGAAATAACAATTTATTTATTCCAGTTAATAAGGAAATTGAATGATACAAAAGCGTACTAAAAGTTTGCTTTACAGTATAATCCAACAATCTCCCACTTATACTAAAGCTAAACTTTTAGTATACAATGCAAAAACAAGCTCTCCCACTTATACTAAAGTCTAGCTGCAATGTATCGTAAACCAAGGCCCTCTACGTGTTTCTCGAAAACCTTAATGGGTAAAGTCTTCGTGAAGGGATCTGCCAAGTTGTCCAACGATGCAATCTTAGTGACAGCTATGTCTCCTCGCTTTACGATGTCTCGTATGATGTGGTACTTCATTTCTATGTGTTTACTTGCTTTATGAGCTCTAGGTTCTTTTGAGTTTGCCACTGCACCAGCGTTATCACAATAAATGATTACACGCTCAGGCATACTCTCAGACACCCCTAAGTCATACAAGAAGCTCCTGAGCCATACAGCCTCTTTTGCTGCTTCAGAAGCAGCAACATACTCGGCTTCCATGGTAGAATCTGCGATGCATTTCTGCTTTACGCTTCTCCATGAAATAGCTCCGCCTCCCAAGGTAAACGCATAACCCGAGGTTGACTTTCTCTCATCTCGATCACCTTGAAAATCTGAATCAGTGTAACCCAAAGGAACTAGATTGTCAGACTGGTAAACCAAACTATAATCTCGAGTTCTTTTCAGATACTTGAGAATATGTTTTACCGCAATCCAGTGTCCTTGACCAGGTTTGGACTGATACCTAGCTACCATGCCAACAGCATAGCAGATATCAGGCCTCGTGCACAGCATGGCATACATGAGACTTCCTACAGCCGAAGCATAAGGAATGTTAGCCATCTCATCTATCTCCTTTTGTGTTTTAGGACACATATCCTGAGATAGAGCAACTCCATGTCTGAAAGGTAAGAATCCTTTCTTGGAGTTCTGCATGCTGAAACGGGCAAGCACAGTATCAATGTAGGCGGCTTGAGATAAGCACAACATTCTTTTCTTCCGATCACGAGTGACCTTCATACCAAGAATGTACGATGCATCTCCCATGTCCTTCATTTGAAACTGTTCAGAAAGCCATACCTTTACGGCTAATAATATCTTGACATTGTTTCCAATGAGAAGAATATCATCTACGTATAGTATCAAGAATACCACTACGTTTCCGTTGCACCTCTTGTACACACAACTTTCACTTGGACATTGCTCAAATCCAAAGGATTTGATCACCTCATCAAAGCGAATATTCCAAGATCTAGAAGCTTGTTTAAGTCCATAAAGAGACTTCTTTAGCTTCCAGACTTGATGCTCTTGGCCTTTCTTCACATAACCCTCAGGTTGCTGCATATAGATGTCCTCATCCAGATTCCCGTTAAGGAATGCTGTCTTGACATCCATTTGCCAAACCTCATAGTCCATGTGACTTGCTATGGATAAGAGTATCCGGATTGACTTTAGCATGGCTACTGGTGAAAAGGTTTCATCATAATCGATGCCCTCTTTCTGGGTAAAACCTTTTGCAACCAACCGTGCCTTGAAGGTAGTAACCTTCCCGTCAGGTCCTCTCTTACGCCTAAAGACCCATTTGCTCCCAATGGCTTTCTTGCCTTTGGGAAGGTCTTTGAGGTCATAGACCTCCATAGCATGCATGGATTCTATTTCTGAATCCATGGCCTTATGCCAAGAATCTGCATCAACATCTTGGATTGCCTCTTTATAGGTACAGGGATCAGGTTCTTGTTCATCACTGGGGACTGAATCCGAGGACTCTCCCACTAACAAGAAACGACTGGGTAATCGAGTTACCCTCCCACTACGCCGAGGCAATTCATGTGTGGTGACATAAGGGTCAACACGCTGTGCAGTTTGTTGTGGTATATCTTCTTGTACACTTGGTACTTGATTGTCTCCCCTTAATTCGTAAAGAATAATTTCACTTGGGGTCTTATGCTTATGCATATAGTCTTCTTCTAAAAACCTGGCATTGGTGCTCACCACTACCTTCTGGTCTTTAGGACTATAAAAACAACCCCCTCGTGTTCCTTTAGGGTATCCTACAAATAGCCGTACTTCCGTCCTAGATGCCAACTTATCAGCTTCCTTGTCCAACACGTGTGCTGGACAGCCCCAAATCCGAATGTGGTTCATGCTGGGCTTTCGCCCGGACCACAATTCTATTGGGGTTTTAGGAACTGATTTGGAAGGCACATAATTCAGGATGTACGCTGCTGTTTCCAAGGCATATCCCCAAAACGAGATGGGTAGAGAAGCATAACTCATCATTGACCTCACCATTTCTAAAAGAGTCCTATTCCTCCTCTCTGCCACGCCATTCTGTTGCGGAGTACCAGGCGCAGTCAACTGGGATGTAATCCCATTCTCTAACAAATATTGCCTAAATTCAGCGCTAAGGTATTCGCCACCACGATCAGACCGTAATGACTTGATACTTTTACCTTGACGGTTCTCCGCTTCTGCCTTGAATTCTCTGAACTTGTCAAAGCATTCAGACTTGCGGCGCATCAAGTAAATGTATCCATATTTTGAGTAGTCATCTGTGAAAGTCACAAAATACTCAAAACCACCCCTAACTTGAATTGACATAGGCCCACATACATCAGAGTGAATCAATTCTAACACTTCATTAGCCCTATTTCCCTTGGCCTTAAAAGGCCTGGAGGTCATCTTGCCTTCCAAGCAGGACTCGCAGACTGAGAATGGTTCCACTTGTAGAGAGTCCAAGAAACCACTGCTCACTAGTCTTTGGATCCTCCTAAGGTTGACATGACCCAATCTAAGGTGCCAAAGATATGTTTGATTCGATTTAGAAGATTGTTTTCTTTTTAATGATGAAGATGCATGAACTTGAGTATTGGTTTCAGTTTGATGCGCACTAGTAATAGTATAAAGATTGTTTTCCAATGTGCCAGAACAGATAACAACTTTGTTTCTCATAATAAAAACGCTTTTATTAAAAACAACTGAATATCCATCCACAAAAAGTTTCGAAACTGAAATTAAATTCTTTCTAAAACTTGGCACATACAAAACGTTCTTTAAAACTAAAACTGAATCAGAAAAAGATAAATGCACATCTCCCACTGCAACCGCTGCCACTCTGGTTGCATCTCCCAAGCTTATGATAATCTCGCCCTCACTCAGCTGCCTTAGTGGCAGGAACCCCTGCATTGTACAACAAACATGATCAGTGGCTCCTGTATCTACTACCCAAATACTGGTAGAACTAGCCGCGAAACATGTTTCAACAAGCAAAGTAGAAGACGTACCATCTTTGCCCTTCAGAAGGGGACAATCAGCTTTCCAATGTCCTGTCTTGCTGCATTTAAAGCACTTCCCCTTTGGCTTCTTCACGCCACCAGAAGGCGCGACCGACTTGCTCCCACTATTTGCAGCACCCTTTTTCTTGGCAGGCTTTTTCTTCTTCCCGCCTTTCGACGAAGAAGGTCCAGACTGCGCAGAAAACAGCGCCTGTGGAGTCCTACCCATGAGTCCCTCCGCTGCAACCAAATCCACAAGAAGCTCGGCTAAAGTATAGTCCTTCTTGGTCAGGATTGTGTTGAGACGGAAATTCTCGTAGGACTTAGGGAGTGAGTGCAGGATCATATCGATCTTGGTGTCAGCATCGATTTGACCCCCGAGCAGCTCTATCTCATTCAGATTTTCCATCATCTTGAGAACATGCTCACGCACAGAAGTTCCCTCTGGCATGGAGGAAGTCATAATCTTCCTCATTGCCTCAAATCTAGCAGCCCTATCTGTCTCACCAAAGAGCTCCTTGAGGCTCAACATCATGTCAGCAGCAGTAGGCAACTTTTCAACCTGCAATTGCAACATATTGGTTATTGACGCCAATATGTAGCAACGGCTCATTTGATCAGCCCTATGCCACCTCCGATGAGCCTCTCTTTCCTCTTCAGTGGATTCCTCAGTTAAGTCTGCTGGAGCAGGGATGCTTAGGACGAATTTATAGTCATCCGCAGCAAGGACAATGTCCAGATTTCGTTTCCAGTCCAAATAATTCGGACCAACGAGTTTGTTTTGATTGAGAACAGTCATAAGTGGATTGAACGACATTTTGATAACTGAAATAAACAAACAGAAACATGCAAACACGTAAGCAGTAATTCACATTAACACATAAGCATAAAATCATGGGAAAACCTCAAAAAAAACACGAGGTTATACATATCACGACAGCTCAGTAAATCGCACATGCAAGCCATGTTATGACGGACGTTTACACATGCATTCACCAAACAGGCAGCTAGCCTATAATTTCATTATCTCATCAACTTATCCTTATGACGAATGAAATTAATTGCCGATACTTTAGAACTGGCCATGTGAATTAAAACAGGGACCCCGTTGGGGGGTTATATTTAAAATCCACATCTAAGTAATGACCATAATTTAACGCCAAGGACAACTATTTACAGTTAATATGCAACCGAAGGGCAGTCATATTTAATGCAAATAATCTCCTACAGTTATCACGAATTAATTTATCTAGTAAACTTATGAGTGACATATCCGTTAGGGAGGAGACCCCATGGATCCCACGTATGCCACACACTTTACTTAAAATTAAATCACTTTAATTGAAATCTTATCTAGTAAACTTGTGCATGTTAATATCCGTTAGGGAGGAGACCCCATGGATCCCGCGTATAACAAACACTTTACTTAAAGATCAATTATGGAGGCCCATAAATTAATAATAATTCAACTTAAATACTTAGTCATTTAAACTTTAAGGTTTTGACAGCATGCATAGAATAATTAAATTCCTAGCATGCTCCTAACATGCAAATCACGTAAGCCCTAGCATGCTTCTAGAAAATTAATTCCGCAAATCTAGTACATGATTCCTAACATGCTTGTAAATTTAAATCATGCCTGTCACATAATCATGCATATCACATAATACTTTGGCAAGCATTAATTTAAATACATCCACAAAGCAATAAAAGGCAGAAAATTAAAAGCACACCCACGCAGCCCTTAAAACCCTAACCAATAGCCTAAGACAACTATTACAGGATTAAAAGGGGCGCGGACAGATGCTAGACATCGGCCTCTCACGCGATGAAAAAACTGGAACCGGGCCGCCTCGGGAAGAAGTCGCGAAAACTTCGTGAAGACGATCGAATTTGGCTGCGGCATTCGCCGTTACAGCATAGCTGTAACTCGTGTAGATCTCGTCCTCCCGTTTCCGAAAAGGTATCATGGGCTGAAAACGGACAACCGAGGCAAAAGTTATGGCCAAAACAGTTTCAGCCGACGGAAACCCTAGATTTTCGGCCCAAAAGCCGAAAACCTAATTTCCATCACCAAAAATTGTTTCTTGGCCGTCACTACAAGCCTCATGTCCGCCCTTACCTCCAGCGCCACCTCTGCTTCGCTGCCCCACTGCGTTCGTGGCTGTTCTGCTTATGCGAACTGCTTCCAAATCGCCTCCTTTTTCATGTCTTTTTCAGAATTACGCAGTATAACTCAAAACAACATGAAAAGCCCTACATACATGGATCTATATACAAAACCGCCTATCTACCCACACTTATTATCTGGTGGGAAAAACGATTACAACAAAACCAAAAGGGCTGCGAAGGGAAACAACATACACGCACAAAAAAAATATTCATTCCATACATTACATGCGAAAACGATAAAGACAATACCAACTACACGTTTTCTGGCAGAGCCAACAATCCACGAAACCTTGCTTTGATACCAATTGTAGGAACACGCCGGTGAGGGCTGTTCATTCCCACGGATCGTTGTTGGATGCCAACGCGTACATACATGGTATAAAACGATCCTAAGCATGCTCCTATAAGAATGAACTAGAGATGTACCCTTTTTGGAACCACCAACAGCAATCACGAACAGGTTGATTCCGCTAGAGACCTTCCAGACTGTTCCCGAACCCCGCTCGAACACCGGATGGGCGGCGATCTATCAAACGGAGGGAGACGAATTTTGCTCCTCGTGAAACCCTAGAGCTGACGGCTTGCACCTGTGGTTTTCGCCTCCTTTTTAAAAACGTCACTAGGGTTTGACAAAGACCGCATATTAATAAGTCTCCCAACAGGTAATTGGGCCAGACCGGGGATCTTTAGAAGGTGTTGGGCTCGGGCTCCCTTATAGATCCAAATCTCTATATTCAGCCCTGAATATAATTCGAATCATAAAATATTAATTCATTCCATTAAAGAATTAATATTGCACTCCCAGCCCAAACCAAATTGAATCTGGGCTTCTATTAAACTTAATTAATTCCCCATGTTTAAGATGTTCCACATCCATTAATTAATTAAATCTTCTGACAATTTAATTAATTAATATCTTTTAATTCCTTAAGTAATACCACTCAAAACTTATTATTGTACGGATTAAATCCACCTGCAGGGTTTATACAATAATCCTTATTGAGTTCCTTAAGGGGATGTCATCAACCTGGATGTCCAGGACATGGTGCCTTAATGATAATAAATTAATTACTATGCGAATAATGTAGTTGCCCAAAATACGAAGCATATTGAATCACTAAGGATTCTCACTTATGGTAAATTAAAGCAACGAACATTTATTCCATATATTTAATTTATTTCATCTAAGGTTAAGAATTAACAGAGTTACCGAGATCTTGGTTCTTCAATGTCAGAATAGAAGAACATATCTCAACTGTGATCCTTTCAATGTGACGCAGCACATTAGTGTAAACTAATAGTCAAGACAAACTAATTCCAAGTTTACACTACAACTTAAACCGATGGTTTTGTCCATAACCATCTCAGTTGTGAAACCCATTTATATTTAATAAAGAACTGACAACAAGATCTTCTGTGTGATCTCCACACACCATGTTGTCTACAATATTAAATAAGTGGACATGCTAATATATATAAAATATAAATAAAAGCAACACAATGTGAAATAACAATTTATTTATTCCAGTTAATAAGGAAATTGAATGATACAAAAGCGTACTAAAAGTTTGCTTTACAGTATAATCCAACACCATTTACCCATAAATAAAATAAAACCTTGATACATATTTAACAATATAATACATATATATAGATATATAAATATATGTAACATTGATGATGAAAGGAAACTATTTCTTCCATGGACACTGAAAGAAGATAGAAACCCCAACTTTCTGCCTCTTTGATTTCTGTTTGTTCTTCCTTTCTGCCTCACCTATTTTCCTCTTCTTCTTCTTCCATGGAGTTGTGTCCACCATAAGTGATGACCTCCTCATCAAGAAGCTCAGCACAGAGAATTTCCCATCTGTTTTTACTTGTTTATCCAAAAATGAAGAAGAAGATGAAGATGAAGATGATGATGAAGATGAAGGGTTGAGATTTGTTGGTGGTGAAGTGAGATAATTAGGCAAAGCCATCAAGTGCCTCTCAACAATGTGGGTAATGGCTACTATTTCATAGGCATCATACAGAGGGCTCCCACAATCCCATATCTTTATGTAATCATCACATTTCGATTCTTTGCAGCTTCCCTTCATTACCCAATACCTTGTAAGAACTTGATTTAACTTACCTGATCTTGTCTGAAAATGTCTTTTTGTTGCCATACATATATATATATATATATATATAAAGATTGAGCGGCACAAACCCCCACCCCCCCACCCCCCTCAAAAAAAAAAGAAGATATATATATATAAGTGTTTGTTTGTTTGTTTGATGGTCGAGCTGGATTAAAATCATTGAGCAATTAGGGTTCCCCACATGGGATTGGTTAAACTACTTTTTGCAGTTTAAGGGTAGTTTAGTGATTGAATTTACTATAATGCCCCTTTAAAGATGCATGAACCATACAACTTTAACTTCAAGCCACACATAAATAAAATAATAGTAATAATAATAAACAAAGGCAGCTACAATGCTGAATCTCACTATTCTGAATAACACAGGTAGCTAGAAACACTACATATACACGGTAATATTAGTAACAATACATCATTATATTAATATAATACAAATACAATATATGAATTAACAACGCATGATTTAGTCCCACCTAACACATGTAGTAGTTTATTCAGCATATGATATACACTTATATAGCACATGTTGTAGAGTATGTTTCTTTTGATAAGTTTGGTAAAATTTTAGTTTGAATTTGGTATTAAAATAATGTTTGATGGGATGTTTTGTGAGATGAAAAAATATAATATTTTCGAGAAACGCAGAGTTCAAATAAGAAAATTTGAAAAATTTAAGGTAAAAAAATATACCCGTAATTATAAACAAACAACTATTGCTATTTTCAATAATAATTTGTGTTGTTTCTGTATTTTTCCAAATTAGTTCTGTAATTAAAAAAAAAAAAAAAGAAAACCTTCAAGCCACATTTGCTCATTAGTTTCACACATACACATATATATATATATACATATGTATGTATATATGTGTGTTTCGTTCCTACTACATGTGACTGCATGTGTAACATGTTGTACAGACAAGCTCACGACACAAAGACAAACCGACTTTCCATTGTGACAAACTCCTATAAAGCACATAACACCATAATAATTTCCCCAAATAGCTAGCATCGATTCAAAAGTCCAAAAAACATACCTTCTAAATATAGCACGTACCCTTATTTCAGCACATGCTATCTTAACTCTTGACCGATGCTTTCTGGAATCCTGATCAATATTGTCTGAGAAAATTAATTAATTCAAAACACAATAATACGTACATACATACATATATATATATATATAGCCAAATTAAACTAAAATGCAGTGCTGAAGAAAGTCTTGACAGCATTCCCACACAGTATCCCCAACACGGCCGTGTTGTCAGCACCCACGCAGCGCGGCGTCTTGAACTGGCTGACGACTGCCCCGAGCCCAATGTAATGATCCATTATCTTCTGGAACGTTCCTTTCTTCATTACCTTCAGCTCCAGAGCTCCAATGGTGTTGACTTTTCTGGAGCTGACGTAGCCTGCATCCTTAAATGCCATGTCCAAGCAGTTGCAGCATTCCTGGAGAAGCTCCTCAGCAGGGTCGCCGCTGACTTCCCAGAAGATGACATAGTGCGCCGGCTCCGTCGAGAAGTCAACGCGGCTTGTGAAGTCGACAACCTCGTATTTCTCAGCGGTCAGCACCCGGGCAGCTTCTTCGGTTGCTATCTGGAGATCCTTTTCGGTGTTCTTGTCCATGTTTATTGTCAGCACGACGTTCTTTCTGCACACGAACTCCAGCTCTGGGGTGCTGTTGTGGAATCCCTTGATCTTCACTATGTCGCCTAATTTGTATCGATACAATCCTGCATTGCATAGAGAATGTAATAAAAGTAGTGATAATTATGATAAATAAGCATTGAACGAAAAATAATAGTTAAGTACTGAATATTTGACTTTGTTACCGTTAGTAACAAGATAAATTTAATGGACGAACGAAAAAGAACAGTAAAAACAAATTAGTAAAAAGATAAAATAAAAAATATATTATAGTATGTAATTTAATTTGCAGTGCGAAAGTTTTGTACAATTTTCCTTTATGATTTAAAATCGCAAGAGATTTTTCTTCATGTTTTAAAAATCATTGCATCCTAAAATTCTTAATAATAAGGGATTTTGTACAAAATTTTTTAAAATATCAAAGAAATTTATGCAATTTATAAATTATGAGGGGAGAATGGTCAAGTAAGAAGTGAAATTATAAACAAGTTAGTTTATTAATAAATGAATAAATTAGTGCATATATATATATATATATATGGTATGTACACTAGCAACTAGAGATGAAAAAAATCAAATTGACAAAATATTAAGCATGCATATTATACTAAAAATATCAAAATTTTGATATTGTATGATACTAAATTAAATATTTTGGTAATGATATATGATTTGATATTTTTTTTATATATACTAAAAATACCATATATATCGTTTTTATTTGGTAGATTGATATATATAAATAATTCAGTATAATAATATCAAATTATTCTACTTTTTTTCTCCTAAAAATATAATAATTTAGTCTGAAATGACATATATAAATACCGTACAAGCAATTCGATATACCGAATTATCTGTACAGTGTGACGTATATCTATCAATACCGAATTTTTTTGTTTGGTATCGATATATTTTTCAACATACTAGAAAATTGGATATTTTCAATATACCTTACTTAAAAGAACCATCTTTACCTGCAACATTGGTGATGACAACCTCATACTCTCGCCCTATTTCGACCTCAGTCAATCCCACCGGACAAGATGACTCCTCCTCGTCATTCATAGGAATAAATTCGAAATATCCGATGTCGGGCCGGACAACAAAAGTCACCGATTCCGGCGGCCGTTTCGGTCTAATATTCGCGCCGATCCACCCTTCCGAAGCTCCATAATCTCCGGCGACCAACGGTAGATCACCGGCGTACTGTCTCAATTTACCGATGTAAGGCTCCATGGATCCCGTCATGATCGCGTAAACATATTTGGCGTTAGGAAACACGGCGGGAATAATTCCGTACCAGTTTCTAGAAGCAGCCGCCGCGCATGCGCGGTGGATTTCATCGGCGAGTTCGGGGTTGGGTCCGAGCAGCTCGGAGACGGCGGCTCGAATTCCCGGCGCCGTAATTCGGGCGGCTGGGAGGCGGCCGTGGCGGATGTCGGCGACGAGGTTTTGCCAGTCGATTTCGAAGGAGCGGAAGGCGTGGACGATGGTGAAGGCGAAGGTGGAGGCGATGAGCTGGATCTGGCAGCGGGAGACGAGGGCGAGGAGGAGGTGGCAGTACGAGGATTGGCGGAAGTCGGGTCCGAAAATGACAGCGTCGGGGCTGCAGCAGGGGGCGTGCAGGGCTTGCATGGTGGGTTTGAAGAGGGGGTGGCGGTAGACGTTGGTGGTGGAGGTGCCGGCGGCGAGGCCGCCGGCGGTTTTGAATTGCATGCTGCTGTATATGAATTGCAAAGCTTTTCCCTCTTCAATGGGATATTCCCTGAGAATGAGTGGATGAAAGTGATTACGTTGCTGATTTAATTTGATTAGTATATGTAATGAAAACGGTATGAATATACTTTTTTTTGTTCGGTGGTAAGTGTTCTATTTGACTTTTAAGCATGGATGAAGGTAAATTAGTAGTATTTTCATCTTTGAATATTCATTATTATATCAAAATATAATACAAATTAAGAAAAATTTGCAAAAATATTTCAAATAGTATCTTATAATACTAATAGAAGGATATTTGTAAAAAAAATATACAAATATAAGAATATTTTTAATGTTAAGTATAATGACACAAAATGTAAATGTGACTCTTAGCGCGGACAAAATGAGTATTTTATAGATATGTAGTGTAATAAAGTAATATAATGTCCATTTTACTCTTGAAAAGTAATTTGAAGAGTAAAAAGTAGTAATATTTTGATATTTAGTTAAGAGTTACTTTTTCTAATTTGGACAAACTAAAATAAAAAATAAAAAGTTTATTAATGGACGGACGAAGTATATGTTTATTGTGCTAAGATCGATAATTGACTGTGCTATAAAGAATTATGTCATAAGCTATCAGGATATGTGCTGTGTTGAATTATATCATGTGTTGTTCGAATATAGAGTTTGTATTGTCTGTTTTTATTATATGTACTCTCTTGGTGACATGATTAAATTTTTAGTCTTGCTTGTAGTATTTATTGTTGTCTTGGTTATATAAATAAAACTTATATAAAAAATAGTTTTATTTGACATGGACTAGTTTTGCAACAATTTCTAGTACCTAATATTGACTTATGCATCGTATTTACTATCATTTAAGTTAAGTTAAGATAAAAAAAAATAGTTCTATGCCTAATTAACTGGTCATTGAAAATATGATATGGTACTGAAATATTGTAACATATGTTAACATAAAAATATGATATGGTACTGAAATATTGTCACATATGTTAACATGATGACACATTCGAAGTTAACATAGTACCAAATAGTGACATAAATTTAATTTGTATGTTTATTTGGTTTCAAAATTGTTCCGTACACATAACAATATTCCATTACTAATTAAAAAGACTTTTTCACCCACCCACCCACCCACCCACAAATTAGATATCTACGATTATTTCTCTACATATTTTAGTATGACCAAAATGATAAATAAGTATCAATTATAAAAACTATAATTATATTTACCTCAATTATTTATTAAAAATAAATGAATAAATTAGAATTAGTCACCTGTTCCTGTAAGCAAAGGAAGTCTTGTACATGAGCACTGTGATTTCCATGAGCCCATCGTTGAAGGGGACAAATTTAGGCTTCCCCCCTGTGGTTCCTGAACTGAATGCAACAATAAAACAAATCCTATTAATTAATTAAAATGACTTCGGGTTTGTTCTTTCACAAATTTTTCAACTGTGATTTTCTAAAACTGATAGTCCATTTATCTAGCTTTAAGGGCTACATTTATTTTTCAAACGACAGTAAAAATTAAAGAAAAATGACAAAAATATTTCTATTAATATTAATATAATGATATTTATATAAAAAATTATATAAATATAAAGATATTTGTAACATTAAAGTATAGTGATGCGATGCAAACGGTACATGTAACCTCAGAAGCGGATGAATTAACTAATGAACAATATAATTTCTTTTTTTAGAAAAGTCAAAATAATCTTCAAAGGGTTTGTTCATTTGAAGAATTTTACCAAAATTCTATTATTCATCCAAAAAAATTTCCCCCAAAACATCAAATCAAACACCTATTTTTATTTTTTATATTATACTAAAAAATCAATTTTACATTCAAAACATCACATCAACACCTATTTATATCACATCATACAACTATTCAAATTCAAAATTTTTACTATTCAAATTCCAACTCAAAATCCAAACCCCCAAACAAACACACCCAAATACTCGTTACAAAAAGTCCAAAAATCAATTTAAATTAATAGTCCCTTCGTCTACTTAAAAGTTTATATTTACTTTTTGCATGTTGATATTTGAATATTAATTATTATATCATAACATAGTACAAATTAAGTAAAAACGACAAAAAATATTTCTATTAGTGTCTTATAATACAAATATAATGACATTTGTAAAAAAAATATACAGATGTTATGATATTTTTAATATTAAATATAATAATATAAAAGATAAATATAACCGTTAGAAACGGACTGAAGAGAGGTAGTAGTATACAATACAACACTTTTTACAAAAGTCAAAATAAACTTCAAATAGTCATTACAAAAAATTAAAATGTCAAATATTCAATTTAAAATGATATTTTTTTATACTTTCGACACAATTACTCATACCACAAAAAGAAAAAATTAATTCATTTAAAAACACTGCGGAAACAAGCAAAATTTTTAATTAATTCATTGAAACCTAGCTAGGAAAGCATGAAACCCTAATTAATGAATTAAGAAGATAACCTTAAGGAGATAGTGGTAATGGGTTTCCCTGTAAGAACACAGATTGGCTCTGTGGAATCGGCAATGCGTTGGATGTACGGATCCAAGTCGGCATGGGTGACGAGAGGAACACAAGCTTTGAAGTTCTCTGGATCAGTTCTTCTTCCCAGACCACATCGTACCAACAAATACTCAGATTCGCCATTTTCTGTAAGAATCTTCTTCAATGTCTCCTTCTGAACTCTCTCTGCGTCCTTCGACAGCGCCTCGAATTCCTCTATTATTACCTCTGGATCGAACTCTTCCTCCATTTTCATCTTCTCCAACATGTCGATTAATTAATTACCAATTAATCTGCAGCTGGAGCACAAATGAAAACCAGTAAGTAATAAATGGTCGACCTGGTACTTATTACAGCAAGAAAGTATTCAAAAATGAAGACCTGATTCAACAAAATAATAATTAATAAATGTGGTGTAGTAAACAGTGACTTTCACAAATTAAAATCAAGTAAGTATGAACAAATCAAAAATATCAGCAAAGATTGTTGTCGCAATTAATTATTGAAAAGACACACATTATAATTCAGATTTGTTCTTACATACATACATACATACATACAAAGAAAAGTCAAAAAACAATTGTGATTCATTAGGTAAGTGTAAACACACGAGAAATCCGAAAAGTTCAACCAACCTCCATAAATAAAATTAAAAAAAAAAAAAAAAAAAAAAAAAAACCCAAACTCAATCTATTCAAAATTCAATAATATATATATATATGAAATTTCATCTTCAATCTCCAATTACATATATATATATATATATATATATAGTAGAAATGTGTTTGTCTGAAACATCCAAAAGAACTCAAAAACCCTAGATTTCTTACACGAGGGGGAAAATTCAGACAACTCACCAACAGACAGCGAAGCCAAATAAAAATACAGATCTGAATCCTTTCCGAGGATAGATAAATAGGGAAATTAAATTAGGATATATGAGACAGGGACAGAATTGGCATGGGGAGATTCTTTGGCCAATTAATGAAATTTTTTGATATAGTTTTTAATTTAAATTAATTGAAAACTATAGAGAAGACCATGTTATGTGATATGTGTGTATATATATATATATATTATGTATGTATATGTTTGCATGGTAGCACATGTGGATTTATATGCAGGGAAGGAAGCCAGCTGCGTCGCAGAAATCTGAAATACCTAAAATGTCCTCACTCAATTTAAATACTGCAGTACTTTGTTTAGATGTAGGTTTTTAAGGTTTTTGAAAGTTTGAAAAAAAATAATACTCCCTCTGTCCCATAATTAAATATTTATTTGTTTTTTATACGTAGTTTTAAAAAATTAGTATTATATTAAGATGTAGTAGGAATAAAGTAGAAATGACTAAAATGCCCTTATTAGTATGTGTGATATAAAAGTAATGACATTTGTGTAATATATTGTAAGTTGTAAGGGTATTTATAATGTTAGGTAGATAGTACAGTTACTAAAAAAAAAAAGAAATGGATACTTTGTTATGGGACGGACTAAAATGAAAAAATAGATATTTTGTTATGGACGGAGAGAGTAATAATAATAAAACAAAAGATTAGTATTTGATTTTATGTGATATTTTGTGGAAAAAAAATGTATGTGATGTGATGTTTTTTGAAAAATAAATAGTCTCAAATGAATAAAAATATGTTGTGTAAACAAAGCCTAAAATTAAAACTGTATTTATTTTTCTATTAAATTTTACTCGCTCCGATCCATTTCAAACTAGCCTTTGAGATTTTGTAGTGAATTAAAAAATAATAATATTTTATTAATTAGTGAAAGTATGTAAGAGATTTTGATCTTTTTGCTCTTTGGTTTTACGTAGAAAGTGTATGTGTAATTATATGTTTGTAATTTAATTAAAAGTTATGTGTATTTTACTATTAGTTTATGATTATTTTTCTAAAATAGAAAAGTAATACTTTGAAGTAAGACGAACGAAAATAATAAAAAATGATACTATAAAACGAGATCAAGGGAGTACCAAATTTATATTATTTGTAGCTTCTTCTTTTTTTTTTTTTTAACAAAAATATCAATTCAAATATTTATTTTTTATTTTTATATTATATTAATATTTAATTTTATATTTCGAATATCACATCAATATTTATTTATATCACATCATACAATTATTTAAATTCAAAATTTTTATTATTCAAATCATAAACCCAAAATTCAAACTTCCAAACAAATACGTGATATTGTCTTAATTCAATATACTATTTTTATTATGTTAATCATTCTACTATTAAAATAAGAGTATTTCTTTTTTATTAAAGCAAAACAACATGCATATATACAAATACTAATATATTCATAACTTTTAAAAAATATTTATGGATAAAAAAATTAAAATTATTTTTAAAATATTATTATTTTTTAATTCGCTATATAAGAAAGTAAAATAATAAATTCCATTAGCTAGGACAGAGAAGTATATTTTTTTGAAAAAATTATTATTTATGAACGTATAAACAAATTTAAAATTATTTATGTAATTAGAATATGTTTAGAATTCATTGAGATTGTTGTTTTTAGTTAATAAAAATTCTTAAAATAGTTAGAAGAACCATAATTTATTTTTTTAGTAAAATACTTAATTTTTATTATTATCTAAAATATAATATTTTACAAGAACAGATAATTAAATTTTTATTTAAAAATTCTGGATATTTTTATTTTATTAAAAATTGTATAAAACTAAAAGAACAAGCCCTAGCTACACATCTTTCAATCTTTTTAGTTCTATATTTATGGATATTCTTCTTGTCTAATATAAAAAAATATATTTAATATTTTTAATATAAAATATGATACTGATTTGCTATTCTGAATAATTTAAATGTAATATTTTCTAAGGAAGTAATTTCTAACCGATAATATGAAGTAGTTAAAAATACAAATAAATAAAATCGAAATGGTTAGCTGTAAAATTGACACACATATATATATATGTGAATTAAATGATCAATTATATATATAAGGATATATAAAATATAGATATGAATGAATCCACAATATATATATTAATTAGTTTTGTTATTTTCCTATTGAATTAAATGAAATATTTTAGTGTGTTAGCTGGCAATGTATAAAAAAAAGAAAAAGACAAAAAGGAAATTTGGATAAATTAATATAATAGTATAATTAACAGGTGGAAGAAAGTGGATGCTTCAATTGCGATTATGTGGTTAAAAGTGCAAATTCAATAAATTGTGGGGGGTCATAGTGATAGACTTGTTTGGTAAAGTAATATCGTGGAATGGGGCCACGTTGTAATTGCAATGTGACCCGATAAGAGTGGCGAATTTCGCAGTTGGCACTAATTGTGTCACATTGCTGTCACACCAATTATTTCATGTACTATTTATTATTATTATTAAATTATTATTATTATTATTATTATCATTTCTTTCGAGTTTTTACCACATTGTTAAATATAGGAGTAATGGTATTGGTATTTTTAAAATATGAATCAATACACTTAATTGAAAATTTAGAATATATATTTAAATATTTTAATATTATATCTCAATAAAATATACTAAATATAATTTTGTAGATAATATAATTTTATATAAGAAAAATGAGTAAAAAATAAATTTATTTATTTATGATTAACATAAATTAATTTTATAAAAAAATAAAGAATTTTAAATATAAATAAAAATATTTATTTGTTAAATAAAAAAAAATTGAATTGATGATGCAGCTAAAATATTAACGGCTTAATTAAATTAATTTATATATATTAAATATATTTAAGATTAATAAATTTATTAAAATAAAATATAGAAACAAATCATATCTCCTAAATAACTTTAAATGAAAGTCCAATCATCCATAGATGGAGGAATTTGATTATTTATATATATATATATATACATATAAATTTTTGTAATACATAAGTTAAATTTATTATTTCTAAGATTAATTTAACTTTATATATATATATACACATTTTTAATTTGTAGTAATACATAAGTTTTGGTAGTGAGAAGTTATTTTAACTTTTATTGCTACGTAGTACACCCGACCATAATTAATACATTGATTTAAGGTTGTGTTTGTCTGGGTTTGGATTTTGAATTGAGATTTAAATAATAAAAATTTTGAATTTAAATAGTTGTATGACATGGTAATATAAATAGATATTGATGTGATGTTTTGAATGTAAAATTGATTTTTAATATAATATAAAAAATAAAAATAGGTGTTTGATTTAATATTTTTTTTAAAAAAATAAAATAAAATAAATAGTAAATTTAAAATCTAATCTACCAAACAAAAAAAACCTTTTAAGTGTTCAACGATCATTTACGCATTTTCGAATTATTATTATTATTATTATTATTATTTTCTAATTATTGATCCGACAATGGACAGTTGAGATTTGACAATAGACACACTTAATTGCTGTGCTTTGGATTTTTAAATCTTCTCTAATTTGTACCCATTAGCTGAGTGGCAAAGTTTTAAATATTATGTATTTAGTAAATAATTAAAAAAAATATGTTAATAAAAATAATTATAAATTAAAATTAAAATAATGAAATAGTTTAATTAAAATAAAAAAAAATTATGAATTATGAATTTTAAAATATGATTAAAATATATAATTATATTTCTAAAAAAGGACATGAATAATTTATGTGGACAAACGAATGTGAAAATAATAGACAAATTAAATGGAAAGGAAGAAATAAAATTTTATTTTCAATAATATGTATGGCTCAGCTTAATTATTCATTTTGGATATTTTTCAAAATCTTTATTTATAATATATTTTTAAAATATTATATTACATATTTATTTTTCAGTTAAACTATTAGAAGTATTAAATTTTATTTTTTATAAAATATATTATTTTCGTCAATTCACGATATATATTTTTTTATTTTGAATTGTTCAATTATAAAGTAACTATTTCGAGAATATCTTACATTTTTTTACAAATACTTATATTTTACCGTTACATCATTGCTTTCAAATTAGAAAATAAGGGCAAATTTATCTTTACACTACTTTTAATCCGGATGGAAAGAGTGTTATATTTAATATACTCCCTCCGTCCCAAAAGTATAGTCTTATTGTGTTGGACACGAAATTTAATAAATATTGATATTATATTGTTGGTTGGTAAAAAGTATGGATAAATGACTTTTTTGTCTTTGTGAGTATATTAGTGTAAAAAAGTAGTGACAATTGTATAATAATAATGAAAAAAATGATATAGTTTTATAGTGATATGGTAATTTATGGAAATGAGACTATTATTTTATAACAGACAAAAATGATAAACAAAACAATTATATTAGGACGGAAAGTATATATTTACATCACATCAAATGAATTTTTTTCCTCTACTTTTTACTTTTTACAAAAAAAATTAACATTTCAAAACTTTTAAAAGAATATTTGGTTGTCAGTTTGACTTGTGGTCGGTAGTTGAATAGGATATTTTATTGTTAATTGAGTTATCATTGAAATATAATGTTAATTTAAATTTTTGTTTAAATAATTTTATAATAAAATTTTTAAGAAAAAAAATATAGTTTTATTTAAAATAGTATGACATGAATATTTTTATATTTTAATTAAAATGTTAACCAAGCACACCTTCATTAAACAACAATACTAACAAATAAAAGTGTCTTGATCTGTTAACATTTTAAATTAAAATTAATACTATTAATTATTCACAGTTTTTAATAAAGATATATACAAAATATTATTTAAACAAAAATTCAAATTAATATGTTATTTCAAATCATTAAAGAAAACAAACATGTCATTTTATTGTTTTATTTATTGATTTTTTGACCTAGAATTCCATCAATTACTGAGTGTCCGTTTGGATAAATTTTGACCGAACTTAGTACTATGGAAATTAGACTTATAAAAAAATAAACACACAATTTTTTCATAGACAGTCAACGGACTTTTAACTTATAAAATAATTAAATTAAAATAATATAAACAATGAAATCTACACACATTTTTAGCAATATGATA